TCAACACTTTATATGGATAGAACTCAAAGGGTTTTTTCTTGTCCTTTAAGAGGGGGCTTTGGTGGCTGAATGGTGAACTTGTATGCATTTCATCAAAAGGTTCGCATTGTGTCAAATGGTGTGGTTTCTATTCCCTGCTTGTACCTTCCGAAATGACCTAGTTAGTGTCCAATGAACTTTAAACCCTCTCTCTCTCTTTTTCTCTCTCTCAGAATATCAAGATTAAAGACTGACTGAAGGTGAAGGATATTGTCATTAACAATGTTTTAAATAGAAAACCTGTGCCATGGTGTTGGATTCCATTTTGAATGCTTATGTACAAGTATAAAAGAGATTGTTAATATTGTTGAGCTTTTAAATTTTGATAAATATTTTTAAAGACTTAAAAGGGGATATTGGTTTAGTTGACAAATCTTTACTCAAAAATTTCAAAACTAGATCTTTTGAAGACTAAAGGAGCATAACTCTGTGTAAGATTAGGATACAGACCACTAAACTTTTTCTCATTGGATTGAAGGGTAAATCTTGTCGCTTTGCCTGGCTCTTAGCTTTTCCCCAGGTTGGGCAGCATGTGTGTTTGCCTTCCACCAAAGTTTGTGTTTGACAATGGACATTTTTTATGAATGATAAAATGAACCTGGTAAATGTGACAGGTGTAATTATAATGTAACACCTGTAGATTTCAGGTAAATTGATTGTCATTATATCTTGTTTACACAGGTAATTACTGCAATTAGAACTATAGCCTTATAAATTATCTTGTGTATTGTCTTCTGATTGCAAATTCTAGACATTTTAATTTACACCTTCTTCAAATCCTTAAAATTTTTTGTATTTACAATGTACTTACCTTTACATACATGTACATATGCATAGTTACATGTACACAATATAATCAATATAGAATCCCATCCCATCAGGAGCCCCCAAATTAGTTTTTAAAAACATTTGTACCATAAATACATATGTAATTTATTTATCTACCATATTAACAGATGGATTGTATTGGTGTTAGTGTGACTGGCAATGGCCAGAATATACCTCCCCTCCCTTTTCACTGTTGACACAAGAGCCCCACCCAGTGACATATTAGACAGGTACCCCATCAAGCTTAATCTGGACCTGACAATACATACTATACTAAATCTTTAATCCATTAACAAATAACATTAAGAAACATTTACTGCCATTTGTCAATTTGAAATTGACATTAATCCCCATTTCATCTACAGATTGGATTAAATATTTTGTATATGTATATAGCTAGATAATTAATGATGTCATTATTATATCATAAATTGAAAGTAGATCCATATAAGTTATAACAATACAACCAGATATACATTATTTATTGTATATTTCATTAGCCCAGTCGGTGCAGAACAATAGGATGTTAAACCCCATATGTATAGCCAGATAATTAAAGGTGTAATTAGGATGTCATAAATTGAAAGTAGAACCATATACATTGTATATTACATATAAGTAATAAAAATACAACTAGATATACATTATTTATTGTTTATTTCATTAGCCCAGTCGGTGCAGAACAGTAGGATGTTAAACCCCATTTGTATATTGAAACCTATAGTACAGGACATTGTATAACTTATATTGTTTACTGGTTACCATCTTCATTAGTCCAGTCGATGCTGAACAGTAGAACGTTAAACCCTATTTAGTATATTTAACCCTATAATACCTGTTAGTGCCATGTGTATATGTAAACCTATAATCCCTGTTAGTGCCATGTGTCATCTGTTGATTGGTTTATACATATTTAATCCATATCTTTATACATGTATGTAATCCTTGAGTGGCATAAGAGAATACTTGTTGAAATGTTGTGCTATATGTGTATAAACCACTGATTGTCATATGAAATCCACATGGTTATCATGTAGTTTATGTTAAACAATGTCATACAGAGTCATATTAGTATTGGTGTGTTAAAACAATATACACTTCGGGTGTTGGTTTATATGATACATGTAGGTGCTCGAAGATAAGATTAAACTCAAACTTAGTTGTGAATTGAGTCGGGAGGGGGTTGCAAGGGCCTGGGAAATTTAAGGAACCTTGTTTCTTATTTTTACAGACTATTAAACCTTAAGCTCATCAACTGAGTATCAAATTTAAAAAAAAATCCTAATGTTGGGTACTTCAATTCACATCCTTGTCTATACATTGCCTTTAGTATGTCTGTATCTTGTCCATGAAATGTGTCATCTTTGGTTGTTAAACATCTACTTCCACAGTAGTGATATCTTGAGACAAGATCTAGAAGAAGTTGAAATTTTCTCCTCTCTTTTTGAATATGATTTTGCAACAGTTCCATTTGCTATAGATTTGTTTAGTATGAAAGAATATGTCTGTTGACATTGTGATTTTAATGATTAGTCTGTCTGATAGTGCCATATGTCACCCAATGATTTTATTGTTGTATATTGTACATCAGTATGGTAATTGGTGCCGGGGTCATATTAGCAATGTGTCGAATAGACTATATTCAATATACTTTAATCAGTGATGGTCATATTGCTGTTTCACCAAATGATTTTGTTATTGTATATTTAGCAATGTGTCAAATAGACTATAGTCAATATACTTCAATCAATGTTGGTCATATGTTACCAAATGATTTTATTATTGTATATTTTACAACTGTATGGTGCCCGGGTCATATTAGCAATGTGTCGAATAGACATATAGTCAATATACTTCAATCAGTGATGTTCATATTGTTGTTTCACCAATATGTCTCCATATTTTACATGTACGGGCAATAGATTCTTTATTGTTTTTTTATAAGATTGGATATTCATTACAATTTGTTTAATGTCCATTTTGTACACTCTTTAAAATCAAATTTCCTTGGAATAATGCTAAATTATCTTATTTTGGAATAATATAGATTTATCAGTTAATGGCAGTTAATTTTATTTGTCTATTTGTGAAAAAAGAAAACTAATTAAAAAATAAAGAAATAGATATGCAATATAGAATCATTTTGTATATTCTAAATTTTTAGGAGATAAAGTATTACTGAGTCAATGACTTCACTCCAATTAATATAGTGACATTGGCATTTTGAGAATATTAGCTGATTAATAGTTTCTGATATTAAATTTGCGGATGACTACACTCATATCACATGTTTTTGCGTTTCAATACTTTCACCTGCATCAACCAAACTTTCTGATTGATTTTGTACCTTCAGACATTTATTCTTTACAGAGAACATGTATAAAAATGTAATATCAACTGCTGTTTTACCGTAAAATGTAATGATAATGAAATTTATTTTTAAATAAATCAAAAGCTTATTTTTAGAAATGAACTATTCCTTAGTGGATTTATATAAGCTCTGGTTTGTTTTCAGATCCCATAATTGAAAATTGTATCTTTATAATATGTAAAATATTGAATAAATATTGTTAGAAAAAAAACCCCAAAAAACTATTCCTTATTAATTCCTTTAAAGGTATTTTATTTTAGTAGAAAAACATTCTGTAGAAATACATGTAGTGTTCTCTAGACAATATTATTACAGTGCATTGATTAAAACAGGTATAACGTGTGGCAAACGTCTGAAAAGGGCGTGATATATCGTCTTTAGAAAGTCTGCTAAAGGGTTAAAAGATACTTTCTACACTATTCTTCCCACTTTGTCTTTCACACTAAAAATATCATCACACATTACTAATTAAAAATATTTTGGTATGATCAAAGGGCTAGTTGTGAAAAGATGAAATAATATTATTATAATTTGAGGTTAAAAAGTGTGACACACACTTATAATCCTCTAAACTAAGCTTTGTCTATGATTACATCTTGGTTAAATCACACTTATGTTGGTCGTCACCGCCTTGGTTAAATCACACTTAACATGGTTGTCACCGCCTTGGTTAAATCGCACTTTTTTTATATATTTAAACAATATTTTTATTCACAGGGTACCGAAACAAGCCAAAGACTTCCCAAAAGCAAGATACATAAATGATATAAACATATATTATAATTATCAATATACATGTATATGGAGTATTAAAGTACATATATGATAAGATTGGCTTGTTTTGGTATCCCTTCCCGTAAATAAAATATTGTTTCAAAAAAAAAAAAAAAATATAATAAAAATGATGCAATTTACAATCTTCACTATTTAAAATAATATTGACACATACACTCCATTCTTCGTTCGTTCTCTTGTATGGTTTTCGTTCTCTTGTATGGTTTTACATCAACTTCCACCTTGGGTGATATCAAGACAATACACTCAAATCTCTAGAATAATATCTTTTAACAGATAATCCTAAATACATCAAAATAACATTGACGTATGTACCCAACTCCCTAAAATAATATTCGTTATGGATCCCTCAGACGATATAATCCCTTTTTAATCCTTTTAGTAAGTGATGGAGCCTTCATCCTATTGAAAGTTTTAACCATGGAATAATATTTAATTCCAATTCAAATATTTTTTGTGGCATTAGTGTTCTGTCATCTGATGGTGATATTGAAGACAAAGCTTCATTATTTGGAAGGATAGTCTTGTGTCACACTTCCTATCTTCCAATTAAAACAATATTTTTTCATGTTTTAACGACAAGATCGTTGTCTCAAGAAACCCAATTCATTGATTTCTTCTAATAGAATAAACTTATAATTATAGATACACCATTTTTGTATATTAACAGCATATGCAAGATATAATACCTTTGAAATTTGTACATTTTAGTAATGTTATTGAAATGTACAATTTACATGGAGATGAATTTATAAAAGCTATGGCTTGTTTTCAGATCCACAGTATCAGTATTGTAAATAATCATGATATAAAAGAAATAAAATGTTATTTAAACCAATTCTTCTTAAGTTCCATATTATGTTTTTGTGTTTATTCCATGCATTAATTGCTAAATGCCGCTCAAAGGAGAGATTCTTCTTAACAGTGATGATTTCATTGAATTTATTTTGTTTCATTTATTTTTCAGGCTGTAACTGGTATAATAAATTTTCTCGACCCCGATGCTAAAGGTGTGATAAATTTTGATGATTTTTGTGAAGGTGTACAACAAATACAAGATTTACAAAGCCAAGGTAAGAATATATTATGGATACAATGACATATATCAATTTCTTGGGAGTTTCTTCATTCATTTTTAGCCTTTTTTTATTAAACCATATTTTATTTTAGGGATACCAAAAAAGGCCTTTGGCTTATATAGAGGTTAATAATTCTTGGATTGTTCTTTCGCCACTATTACTTTAAAGTAAACTCATTCCAAATGATATTCATTTGACACCCCAAAAACAACATTTCTTTATTATACATGTGCATGTATTGTGCATGTATTTTTTTTCTCTTCACATCTCAAATCTTGAAGACTAAAGGGGGACAACTCTCAGCTGTTCTGTTTCTTTTGTGCACATCTGTAAACATCACAAGAAATAACCTGCAGAAAGAACTTGTTATTTCTAATAGAAACATTTACTTTTTGCCAACTTTTAGTCTCACTTAATTTTTTAATCCTATCTTGGTTAAGAGCTCTTATAATAATGATGTATTCGAAGTTTGACATTGGATAAGCAGCAATAAACATTGTCTATTTAGAAGTGGGAAAGTTTAATTTTTGCTTCCACATGTACATAATTATAGAATGTTATTTCCCAATGTTATTCTCTAAACTTAATGGGTTTTAAAATACAACTAACATCAATTATTATTCAACAATTGTGTTTTTTTTTATTTGAAAGAAAGAATTATTGTTTTAAATCAGTCTGTAGGCCTTTTTTTTTTAAACAACAACCTTTATTTACCAAAAATATAGCTACAATCATTAATGGATAAAAAAATATATACAATGCAATATACAATTTAATATTATAGTATTTATCTACATTTCCATAGTCAATAATCTGTATACAATATCTATCATCAATTATTATTCAACAGTTGTGTTGTTTTTTTTAACTATTTGAAAGACAGAAATATTGTTATAAATCAGTCTGTACAGTGTGTAGGCCTGTTTAATCATCAAAAACAAGAAGTTTTAAATTTTACACTTATGGCCAGACTTTCAAATTGAATTTTCTTTTTATTGACTTTAGTGATTTTAACATTTAATATAAATTTTACTCGACAATGATAAAAACTTGTAATTTCATTATGAGAGATTTAAACACTTTAAATGGTCGTAAAAATTAAAATACTGAAGATCAAAGGCAAGAAGGATTGAATGATTATAGCACTTAACTGCACATCTGTGAAATAAAATTGATTTTGGAGAAAATTTAACCCCATTTACTGTTAATCTCATAAAGTTTGAGCAAGTTTGAGTTTAGTAATTTATTGTTTGTCTTGTAATAAGCCGAGCAGGTATTGACCTGTAATCAGGGAATTAAAAAATAGAGCAGGGATTAAGACTTTGAGGATAGAGTAAAAGCCATCATGTTAGAAACAATGAGGTCTCAAGCCTTTACTTAACAGTCTATCAGCTTTACACAATCAACTGGTATACAGAGGTGATTACAATTAACAACTGGTGTTATGTAAACTCTTCTACCATTGGTCTGTATAATCAGTGAGTTGTGTTCTCATTGGTTAATGAGTTGAGTAACAGGTGCCCCTCACTGTGTTTTGAATGAATGGAGGAGGAGGCTGGCACCCTACTGAATGTCATATATACCAGACCCATGTGTTCATCCAAAGTATTCCAAATGTCAAAATGTGTCGGTGTTCAGCTTGTCAGGTTATGCGCTTCTTCAAGAAGATTTTGAGAGTGTTTCTGCGGTTTTTGAAAGATGGGAAAAATGTTGAGAAATTTACTATTATTAGTGTATATGACATCCTTCAAGGTAATAATTATTTATGGATGATTCTTGTGTGGATTTCAGTTAATCTACATGTATATAGTTTCTGATCCCATTGTTTGATCTTTGGATAATAGCACTGAGCAGTGGTCGCATCAAATGCTGATTTTACCGGTGGAATATTCTGAATATTTGAGTGAGAACTTAATTGACCATGACAATAAACTTGTATATTGTGTAGATCACTATTTGTCTGTTGAATTAATAGGAAATATTGTTTTTTAACTATAGATGACTTAACAGTAAAATTGTGTTCAGTGTTTATTTTACCACTGCTGTCAGTCAATATTTACTATCAGTGCAACAGTTGAATGAGATGAGTAAAGGGAGATAACCATGTTCTTAACAACTTGTCAGCTTAACATTCACAGGCTGTTGTGTTGTGAAAATGTTAAATGAAAATCATTGTTTACACACATTATCTAAAGATGTGTGCTGTACATCAGAGCTAAAACATGATATATTTTAAACTGAACTCTTAGTTCTACTCTGTAAGCTTGAATCATGTCATTTGACATAATTTGATTTTTCCATATACATCAGAATTCATATTCAAGGGAGGCAAATAAGATGTAAACAAATTAAAGCTTGAATTTACGTCAGTCAAAATTAATATTCAAGGGAGGTAAATGAGATGTTAACAAATTTAAATCTTGAATGAAATATTCAATAATATGTTGTTTTTATTGCAGTACAATCGTCGTTTAATGGTGGTAGTGGTTCTTTAAGAAGGGGTTGTAGTGAAGACACTCTGGTTCCAGCAGACTGTATAGCACATATTTCACCAATAGTGGAGGTAAACCTTTTTACTTACTGAATCAATACGCTCAGAAAAAATAGGATACAACCTACATACATACACTGACTGTCTGGTTTATAATTGCTCCACAATTCAGTCTTGGGAAAAGTTATATTGGTGTTCAATTATAGTTGAAGCTTAGTGGTCTATAATATTTCTGACGCTATCATAAACTGCCTTTACACACACTGTAGTCTTAAACATCCGTCATCATCCTCAGCTTTGTTAAATTGTGTTTAAAACACACCTTCATCTTTCTGTAGTCGTGAGGGGCGGAGATTGGGAGGGGCCTCATATGGAAAAGTCTAGGTCCTCTCTCTCTTTAAAACTGGCACTGTGGGTGTTGGTTCATTCTTCAATACATGTACCAAAAAAGGAGAAATGGGGTTTAACATCCCGTCGACACAAACTAAGTAAAAAAAACACAAGGTTGGACAGGCGACCGGGGAATCAACCACGTAAGTTGACTCAATGACAGACCTTATGATACAATGCGCATGCTAATCATTCGGTCTTAAGCATTAATATTTAATAATTCAATCAATCATTTAAACTGACAACTTAAATAAATGATTCATTTATAAATAATTTATCCCACGTCAAGAGCAATTTATCCAATGAGGTCAAGAAAGGTGAATTAAATTTATTGTATTCTCATGCTACGAGTTTGTCTATGTAACTTGGGTCTTGATAGCCTTTTTTAAAACGACTAGACCCCTTTGGTTGGGCCACGAACACACCCATTTTCAGTAGTTTTTATTTGTTCATTTACTTTGTGAGGTGACGTCAAGGCTTCTCTTTAGATTGAATGTCTTTACATGTACATACACACAGAGACATGAAATAACTGATTTTGATTTGCCGTATCCTTAATTTTTCAAAACAAAAGCATAATCATAACTCCCTACCAGTTAAAAGGGTTAAGCATGTGTTACTAATTGTAAATATTTTCTTAAATATTGATAAAATTATTGACGAAATATGAATCACGTCACAGCTGTTACAAACCTGTTTACAACTTTGCTAATAAAATCTCCGCCATTAAAATATAGTTCTACAAACATGCTTGGTATTTATTGATTTTTATAAAAGTTAGATTGACCAGATATGAAATGAAATGGGGTTTAATAACGTCCTACTGTTCTGCTATGAACAGTTAAGAACGAAAATCTTATTTTACATGCTTTCGTAAATTAAAGCGAATATAATTGAATTATATTTGGTATTGACTTTTTTGAAGAAATAATTAAAAGTAAAGTAATAAATTTTTCAAATGTAAACAACTAAGTTTACAAAAGGCTAAACATAAAATCTGTTTTTATAAGAAATGGCATACATATACATGTCGATCTTTATTCAAATTTTTAAAATCTAGTGATCAATGCAAATAACCTTGTGACGAAACTACTATGCAGAACTACATAATTATTGGCATTTATAAATAGATAATTATTTGATGTAACTTAGTGCAAGTACGTTTTTATTATCTGCGAACCATGGAGACATAAAAACAAATGTTAACGTCATAAACGTTATATAAGCAGTCAATATATTCTGATATAGTTAGTTAGGTATTAATACACCAGATGACGGAGATTGGGGGACTATTTAATGATTAGTCATAATATATCATAATATATAGAAACTTGTCACTTAATGTGGGTAGATAGAATAATTGATACACATAATTTCACTGGATTCCAAACCCACAGGATATTTTCTAATTATGAGATACTTACTGGATCAAGAGGTAAGATTTTCTTTCGACGTTATATTAACTTTTATGAAATAGGTATATATAAAATCGGGCCAGTAAATATTAAAATGTGACTAGTAAATATTTGAAAAGTTGCATTTGGGAATTTGATTTTATAGATTTGGAAAAAAGCAGAAAATGTGACGATTTTTGAAATAAGTATATATACAATCATGTCAGTAAATATTAAAATGTTACTATTAAAAAGTCTGGGAAAGTTGCATTTAGAAAAATCAGTCTGAGGTTAGTTTCTTTTTTGCAACACTTTCGAGTTGAAATCTCATTTTATAGATTTAGATTTTGTGTTTCTAATTGCAAATCTAAGAAAAGTTGCATTAAAAAATTAAAAAGAAGAGACTAGGGTGGTTTAAACATGGTTATCATTAATTATTTGTATTATCAGTGAGTAGGGATTTTCAAGTAGGGTCACTATAGGAGAGCTATTTTAATTAGAGTCATAGCTCATTTAGTAACAAATATCCGTCTTACATAAAACAAATTGTTTATTCATGGCTAAGTGTCAGGTCTGTTGCTTCTCCCCACTGTGAGAACCTTCACCCAATAGTCTACAGTAGGGGTCCATAGTTACATAATATTAGATACACTTACATAATTTATCTAAAACTGATACACAGTTCCTATTTATTCCTGATTACATATTCATAACCTGGAATCATTAGATTGGTGGGTAACCAAGGGTAACTGGAGTTTTATGAATGTAGTCAAATTTTAATGAAGGTCATTGTATTGCATCAACAATAGTCATTAATTAATTAGGGTTGATTTGTAAATCATTATTGGAGCATTTTTAGATTTTTATAAACTATAATTCAATATTTCCATTTGCTATTTAATTTCTTTTAGTGTACTTTAATTTCATTATTAGTTTCAATTGACATAAAAATTGATACCAAATTATTAGTAGGTCTTATAAAATTATCATTATCTCGAATAGACATAGTTTTAATCCAGATTTCCTTGTGGACCTTGATATATTAGATGAAAGGATTAGATACTAAGCATAGATAACAAGTTTGATCTAAATATTGTGGATCTGATATTTAGGGTAGCTTTATAAGATTAAACCATAGTAGTGGATTATCTCAGTGATATACATTTCGATTTACAGATAAACATATTAAAAATTAGAAACTGTATTGTGTCTGATCTTGCATATTGTCAGGCCGTAATGACATAATTTATTCATAGGCATGTTCATGAACCAAGTATGGTGGCTTCAGGATACAAATATATCTGCTCCCGGTCTTTAAATGATCCTAATAAAATCATTTACTTAAGCAAAATCATTTACTTAAATATTGAGCGTAATAAAATCTTTTACTTAAATTTTGATCCTAATAAAATCTTTTAATAAAATTTTGATCCAAATAAAATCATTTAATAAAATTGGGATCCAAATAAAATCACTTACTTAATTTTTTATCCTAATATAATCAAATACTTATTGTTTAAATGCAATGGAAAGTTGATTGTGATTTTTAATTTTAAATATAACACCTGAGAGACTAATTAATTTATGATAAACAACAAAGTCCTACCTGGCATTATTTCTCTATTATCAAAGAGTATACATGTAATATTGATTATTGATGTGTCGTATATAAAGCCTGGTTGTAAAATAAATCTATAAAATAACAGATGAAACCCTGCTGAACTTTATTCAAAGGTTTTTAATTGTTCTCCCAATGGCTCTCCATAGCTGATTTTATGTATGTAAAGGTAGCAGGCTTCACACCTGAGTTATTTTGTGGTTGTGCCCTCGAGAGGTCAACTCGACAACTGCGTCAAGCAGCAGCAGACGTAAACAGTCAGCCATATTACTTGTTGACGATCTCATTTGTTCAATACAGTTGAAGCAATATGGATGATTGGGAAGTTAGTATTTTTCTTATTGATTGTTTTGTTTTTTAACTCTATGTTGTTACTATAGTTACGGTGATTGGAATGTGGATGTTGTCGATTTATATAAATAATTTAGTCGGTATTAGGTCGATGGTAGGCGTTAAATATAGGATGTATTATTTAACAAACAAGTATGAAAATGGTTGGTATTTTTTTGCTTTATTTTAAATTACGTTTCTTGAGGCATTTCAACAATTCCGACAATATTTGATTATGTTCTATCATAACAGGGTTGTTTGCATAAATTTGTAATTTTTTGAATATTCAATATTTCTGATAAAAGTTGTGACAACTTTTTTTCCCATCTCCTCACTTTGCTTCTTAGTTTTCTGTTTTGACCAAGTCACTAGGGAAATATTGAGAATTAGTCAATAGAACAAAGAGATAAAAGACTTCATCTTGGAAAAAGTTAAATTGTACAAACTACATGTACCCTCCACCATGTTGTGTCAATACATGACTGTGTATTCGGGTCACTTATGTTTAAAAAAAGATTAGTTTTCATGTTAAAAGCGACTGGTACTACTGAAATTGGATTTTTTGCCGTCTTCAGGCAATGTTCATGCAAATGTATTGTTGGGGCTGTTCAAAACATCTTGTCTAAAACATTAGAAAATAAAGTCACCATAAAAACATACCATTTCCGTTCGTAATTTTGACTGTACCATCAAAAAACAAGAACCAATTTCAGTAAGCATGAACTGATTGGTCCTGAATATTATATTTTTGGATGATATGAATATTGCATGGTTATCATAAAAGGGGTTATTTGCACAAATTTCAAATATTTCAAATATTCAGAAATTTTTATTGTTGGTAGAAAGTTAGTAGGTCACATCTCTATGTAAATGAAAGTATTGTATGATCTACAAAACGGGACCATATTTTTGACAAGTCAGATTAAATTACCTGTACATAAATCGTGTAGGCTAGAAAGTTTAAATTTCTATAGGAGCTACAGTGGTTCAGTGAGTAGGATGTTGGCCTGCTAATCTAGAGGTTAAACCTAAATTTTATTGACTTCTTTTCTGGAAATATTAGGCAAGGCACATTAAATGATTGCAAAAATTAAAACTCAAAAACGGTTTAGGAAGCGGGTAGGGTTCACTAAATGAAGCAGTTTGCATAACATAAAAATAAAACTGTTTGCATTATTTATCAGTTTTGATATATAATACATTGCTTAGATGTTTAAAACAGATACATCTACATTGAATTAAATATAAAATATGCAAATATTCTGTAACCTCAATAAATTTCATAAAAAACTTTGCCTCTAGCAGGAAATAAAATATTAAAAAGTTAATATATAAAACTGTAATAAAAATGATGATGACTAATTTACCTTTGGAGATCCGTCTCTTGTAATAAAAATAAAATGTATGAAACCTTTAGCCCCATGGTTATGTTATTATGACATGTATGTGATGTATCATCGACATTCATCGTAATTACAACTAAAAATACCCCAAAGATAGTATTTAGTATTTGGCCCTGTAATGAAAGAAAGGGGGGGTTTAGATTCCCTGGTTCTACGTGACAATGAGTGGGGTCATCTGTCCATATTTGTGGGTTTTCTCTGATTCCCCCGGTTTCCTTCCACCCCTATTGAAATAAAATTGAACCATATGTTAGTCCCAAAATGACCTAGTTTGTTGATGTTAAACCCCATTTCTCCCTCTCTCTCTCGCGCTATAAAAAGAAACTGTTGCTAATTTGTTAATTTAAAAATAAATATTTATTTTATTGTAATTCTTTAAGCACTCTTGTGGAAATAAAAATGAATGATAATAATTTGATTTAGAACATTACGAATCTAATCACTGGTCATCAATAATCATAAAAATGAAGGATACAGACATTTTGTATCAAAAATAGATCATTAATTAATACTGGTATGTATATATATGTACGACCACACCCAGAATATTATGTAGTGCTGTAATATGATGAATTGAGAATTTTCACTGGTGTTTGGTTGGTGTTCGAGGGTAATAATGCTAGTTCGAAGATTTCTTACTGTGAGAATTCTATCTGTGATATTTAATATGGGTGTTTTTGGGGGGCCTGAAGAAAAAATTGCGAGGTGTGCTCTAAAGATATATTGCCATTTGTCTGTTGGGAGACTATCCTGTAGAATTCTTACTGTGATATTTAATAGATTTAGTGTGAATGTTTTTTTCTAAGTCCAAAGAAAGAATTGTGAATACATCTATAACGAAAACCTTAATTTTATAATCTGATTAGAGAAATAACTGTTAATTAGAATTAAGACAATTAGATAAAAATCAGTTTAATCCTAGACCGAATTAGCAATAAAAACACTTTAAAAACTGTACTTGTGACACCTTTTTAAAAGGGTTAGGCCAAAACACATTAATTTTCAATTGAAGTAAAATACATGGGGAAAAAAAGGAAGAATTGTAAGCTTAAAACAATTTCAAAAATTAAAAAATACTTGGGGTGAAAATAGAGAAGAATTCATTTTTAGGAAGAAAAAAAAAAAGAAAGATAATTTGTCAAGCTCCTTGGATTAATGCTCTATAATGCCACCCATTGTATTGATAAACCTATTAATTAATGAGCTTGGCCTAATGTTAATTAACAGCAGGTAATATTATATATTGTTATATAATAGGTGTGGTATATGTACAATAGACTATTGTATTTACCTGACAAGGTAGTCATGTATATAACTAAGGTAGCCAGTCTTGATGTGGGTATTGTAAGTGGTAACACACACACTCAAACAGTGGAGAAATACAAAATATTGGATAAATCGAAATTATGGAAAATACGGATTCAATTTGGGATGATACTGATGCTGTTATGAATTATTTTATGGTAGGATTTGTATGGAACTAGGAATTTTTATGGAACTATGATTTGTTCAACTAACAATATAATACATCCTATATGAAAGGTGCACAACTTGAAAGAACTACGGACTCGAGTCATGGTGAGGGAGCATGGCTTCACTTGTCTTGCATAATGAATTGCAGAGTCAGTTGATGAACTGGGGAATTGGGGTTTGAAGACTTGGGACTATGTACTATAGTTTGCAACTTGGGATGGCTTGGATCTTGACTCTAGGTCCTGCACACTTGCCTTACACTGAATGGAGATATATTCCATTTGTGGTGTCAATAATATTAAAAAAACTAGAAATGTATATTTATATTTCTCTTTTCAGTCATACAAACAAGATAGTAGCAATTCTACTTACGCAGAATATGACATCACAGATTTACCCTTAAACAGTAGTGAATATACCAATGGTGATAATAGTTGGAAAGGTAGACAACTCTTTCCACCCCACTCCGATGATGAAGCAGACAGTGCATTAAGTTATAAATCATCAGAATTAAATGAAAACAGGTAGGATTTTTACTGAAAATGAAATTATCTTTTCTGAACCAACCTAGCTGATGTAGATGGGATCACACTTTATGGGGTTCTTTTTTGGTCCCATCTGAATGACTAGGTGTTTTGGGTTTTTTTTTCGCAAGCCATCTATTGTTAACAACTTTAAAATAGTTAGGCTGCACATGTGTATAGACAACTGTTACAAATTTATTTTATAATTTTTTTATCTTCATTTTCAGTCGGCATGAGATAACTGATGAAGAGAATTTTGAAGATTTTGGTGAAATCGAATCTGAAGCAGATGTCTCCGATCAAGGTCACCTGTAAGTATTTAAAATTGAGTTATTTCCCTTAGTATATAAAAAAAATTAAATCAATTTACAAAATGAATTAAACAAGCTCCTAGCATGATTACAATTACAATTCCGACAATTTTAAGCAAATGATAAAAGTAAAAATAGATTTTTTTATAGTATATATAATGTGGAGTTACCTCCCTTTCAGTACCCCAGCAACAGCTCGTAAACATATAAATCATCGTAAAGGAGATTTCCGTCAACATAAGAGAACGTGGTAGTTAATAATATATCATAAAGCATGTTACTATATATAGACTCTAGTGTGGAATATCAGCGTTTATAAATCCCTTTGAAACTGAAACTGAAAACCACTATCAATATTGGAAATTATAGATTACACATTTTCGAATCTAAAGATTTTGAAATGTGAAACTAACTATATTTTTGAACTGGAACTGAAAACCACTATATTAATATTGGAAATTATTAATTACACATTTTCGAATCTTAAGATTTTACAATCTGAAACTATCTGTATTTTTGAAAGGGTTTTATGAATGTTAAAAATCTGCTGTGAAGTGATGCTTTCTAGCTAAACAACTATAACTAGTCATTCATCTTGTTTTGAACCAGTATTTGCTTTCGTAGTTCTTTTCTTTCGTAGTATAGATATGCTTAGCTTTGTCTCTCTGAATATAGATGTTAGTTTTTAGTTTTCTATCTGTTCTTATGCTCAGCTTTGATGTTTCTTACTTTCGATGTAAATGTGCCTTCTTTATCTGCTTTTTAAAATTTCATATTATCTGAAACAATTATTTATTGAGATATGGAACAATCTTCCAATCCACCTGAAAAAATACACCTTTTTATCGACATTCAAATCCTCATTGAAGACATTTTTAAGATGTTATATTTAGTGGTGCCTAAATTGAATCACTATAGGGTTTTGAACATACTCTTTGTATGAAATAGCTTTATAAATGACACTATTTTTATTATTATTATTCATACCATCATTACATACCATCAGGACTCATTGGTGAACATTTTCCATCATACAATTTGCATGTGTGTGTCATCCATAGGTTTGGGGATTCATTATCCAGTCATATCATATTTTTCATTATTAGTAATTTACTATCTAATATTTAATTATAAACTGATAAAAAATTTACTAAAAAAAATTTGAAATAGATTTCTTAAAAAAACACACAAAAAACTAATACAATTAAAAAAAAAAGTGAGTTATAACTTTTAAAAAACTTTTTTAATTAAGCCTGTAGATAACATAATAATTAAAAAACGTGTATTATTATTTTTAATAAACTATTCTAATAATTAATCCAGAATTTATTTTTAATATTTAGCCTTCAGCATCGTCGTTTATCATTGGATCTGTAAGCAATGGTTTTTTTGAATAAAACCCATGGTGTAGGGATGAATCACAAATTATTTGATCCAATATTACACCATTTTAGTTAGAATATAAAAACCATGGTGTAGGCAAAAATCACAAATTATTTGATCCAATATTACACCATTTTAGTTAGAATATAAAACCATGGTGTAGGCAAGATTCACAAATTATCTCATCCAATATTGCAACATTTTAGTTTAAATATTCCTTAATTTAAGTTTAACATTTTGTTAACTGGTTCAGGGAATTACCTAAAGAATTATGAAAGAATATAAATATTTTCCCCCATTTTTATTTTAGTTTAATGTTGTGATATTATTTAGAGCATGAAATTGACATGTGTATTCTAATTGTATGAAACCAGTTACTGAAAATCTTAGGAATTTTATAAATAATATAAATTTATGCATGAAAAAAGGATTAACTGGTGCAATATAAAATCAATAAGTGTTCTGTTTTTTTTGTGGAATAATTTAAGGCACAGTGGTGTTCTATTAATGGTGTCTTTTCTGTCTATTTCTGCTAATCTCTCTTCTTTCTGCTTACTTACAGTCCTAACAGACGTCTTACGTCGGCCGCTTATGCCAGGTAATTAAGTGATTTTATTTAGCTTTGGTCCTGGGAAAATAACTCTGCAATTTTATTTCCATCAATAATTTTTTATTTTAAGCCTTGAGAAATTTTTAACTGTTCTGTATTTTTATGAACAAGATAAAGAATTTTTTTTTTTTAATTAAACAATATTTTATTCAAAAATTAAGGAACAGGCGTGGCCTATCTGACCTCGTAAAATAACGATATCATCACTTATTGTAAAGCCTTTGATGATTGAAATGTCTTGTCAACTTGTGTTTGAAATATTTCTTGTTCTTTCTTCAGCCAATTACAGAGAAGTGCGGTTGGATCCCCCAGCAGTACCAGAAGTAATAGTTTTGGTTCGGCAGATAAAGTTATTATCGAGAATATTGATGGCAACTTTCAGGAACTTAATGATAGGGTAAGTGTTTCTAGATCTGTATGAATTATTGACGGTATATATATATATATAATTTTGACCAGAATATTACTTGTTTTGTTTTTAGATTATTGAGAAAGATAAATATAATCTTCATTAAGATACCAATAATAAACACCAGTGATTATTTTCCATATGAAATGTGTTTTTATAAAAGCTGCTCAAGGGTTATGACAATCTGTGTAATGTTATAAAATTTATTTATATGTTTATAAAGATTAATATAAAGATTGTTTTTTATATTAACAGGTTAAGTTTATGGAAAGAGAGATAACATCATTACGTGATAACCAGAATCAAACAGATACAAAACATATCAGATTAAAAGATGAAAATACAATACTTATACAGAAGTAAGTTCTTTAAATTTATTTTTGGTCTGGAATGTACATTTGGATTTTCTGGCCCTATTTCTCCGTGGTGTAGGATGCAGGACCTTGCAAATGGGATGAAAAAATGTATATAATCGGCCAGGGGAGTTATTGTAGTTGATGATAAATATTGTGTAATATATTATATCTTACAAGAAAATATCTTATCTGTTTATTTATTTGATAAGATGGAGATAACTAAATAAACATGTCTATAAAACTAGAAAAACATTCAGATAGAAAAAAAACTCATACACAGATATTTGGTATTATTTTTACACCAGTCATACATGTAGAGTAATGAGATTGGAGTTCTATGATATTCATACTGCAAAACGTATAGTCATATAGATGGGACCAGAAAACAAGATCGCTTGTACACATTGGCAGGCACATAAAAGAATCCTTTGCATTTGAAATTTGTAGGCTGTAAGATTTCCTTTGTGGCATGTTGTATATCCGTCTTCATTAGCCTAGTTGGAGCAGAACTGTTGGATGTTAAACCCCATTTTCATTTTAATTTCCCTTTTTCTGATTTTACTAATAAAAAATATATTTCAGGGTCCACAGTTTAGAAGAACATATCCACGAAATGGAGACGGTAGCAGAACAAAGATTAAGGGAGGAGCGAACCAAACACCAAGAATATGTGGTACGATAATATTTCAGTTCACTTTGACATGACCCAATGTAGTTAGGGTTGGGTGGGGAGTGCCCTGTGGTATATTCACAATCCATTAATATGCAATACACCCAATAAAATACTATTTTTGATGATTAGATATTCTAAACAAAATATGCGCGCTGTATCATTAGGTCTGTCACTGAGTCAATTGGCATGGTTTCAAATCCCCGGTTGTACATGACAAGGAGTAGGATCGCCTATCCAACCACGTGGGTTTACTCTGGGTTTGTGTCATGGACGCCATCTCTCTCTCTAAACAAAATATAAATTATTTTATTTTTTATTTTTTTTAGACAAAACATGAAAGAGAAAAAACAGCTGAAGATGATTTAATTGCCCAAAAGTAAGTAAATGATATTGTTATTTTAGGCATTGGCATACATAAGTGATATTTAACAGGAGTTGGGTGGCTGATCATAAGGGTTGTCATTGAGTCAAATGGTGTGGTTTGGATTCCAAGCTTGTATGCGGCAAGGAGTAAGGTTGCCTGTCCAACCTTGTGGGTTTTCGCTGGGTCCTCTGGTTTCCTCCATTTTGCTAAAGAGCCGGACACGCAAGAGAAATATTGAAATAAAATCCAGCCATATGTTAATCCTGAAATGACCTAGTTAAACCCCTTTTCTCTCTCTCTAACCTCCAGACTATTATGGCTGTCTGGGTCTCTAACCTGATAGAATTTCTGATTCAGGAAACTCCACAAAAAATTATTTTAAATACTCAATAAAATATTTATGATTCTTTTTTCAGATTAAAAGAATATGAAACATTAACAGATGAAATAACAAGATTAAAGTCATTATTAGCTAAAGTTAAAGAGGTAAGTCCATCAGGTCATTTCTATATCATTTCTTAACTTCATCGACTAAACCACCAGATTATAATATCGATAGGTCCAGTGTCAGTAAAAACATGCCTTTTCCATGGACAATCTTTATCTATTTCATCAAATATCAGATCCCATGCTGGGTTCACCAGATTATTTCTATATAATTTCTTTACTTCATTTACCAAACCAGATTACAAACTGCATTCGACTCCATGTGTCGAATGATCCCATGTCAGTTTAAATTTCCCTGTGGCAAAATCTTTATCTTTTTCATCAAATAACATATCGAATTCTAGTGAAAACAAGATTCCCATTGAAATAACCTTTCTCTATTGCATGAAATATTAGATCTAATATTGCTGATAAAAAATAATTCCTTTATCCATATTAATTTGATTATTCTTACGCACTATTTGCTTTTGTAGGAGAAGATGTTATTACAAGAGAAATATATTGAAAAACAAGAATTATGTACGATGATTCAAGATGACAACGATAAATTAAGAATTGAATTACAAAATCAGGAAGAGTCATTTAAAAAGGAACGACACTCAACTGGACAAGTAAGTAATATAGAATGTTCTAAAATATTAAATTCTGAATACAGTAAATAAATTGGGAACAACTCTCAGAATGAGAAAAAGTTGACACCTATCCCCTTCTTTAAAAGAACAAATATATATTGATGTATAGTTATTTTTATTTATTTGGGTTTTTTATTTGTTAACTTTGCTGTCCGGTTAATGACCCTTCTGCACTTTGACCTCCCACAACAGTTTCGAAAACTGCTTTCACTTTTGTGTGTTCGGCACCATAGACGATCGCAGACTGGTCATAGAGGTTTTTAGTCCTGCACATACAAAATTTTAACACAATTCCTTGTTGAATCCAACACTGAATAATACGGCAGTAGTTTCAGGCTTATTGTTCCTTATATCTTTGAAGATATTTTTTTTAAATTGAACTCTTGTTTATTTTTTTAGTTGTTAGATGAATTAGGCAAAGAATTAGAAGAATTACGACGATTTAAAATTGAGGCTGAATTAACGCAGGGTAATAATATGTCGGAATTACCAGCCAGATATCAAGAATTACAAGCAGAAGTTAAACATTTAAAAGAGGTAGGGATCACAGTTATTTGTCTTCAAACCCTTGAAATATTCAGAATTCTCAGCCACTGAAATGAGATTTACTTTTCTGCACCAACTGGGGTAATGAAGATAAGCATATGTGAGAAATTTTGCCAGGACAGCAGCACTGTGAACTTCGAATTTCCACTATCAAGGGTTCTGTTACATGTATGGGGAACTACATATTGTCCTCTGTTGTCACTGACAAAGGGGTACCACACTGGAAAATCCCCTAGGTTAACGAGCCAACATCTTACTCACCAAGTCGCTGCAGCTCTCTCCAGGATATGAATAAGGGAGTGGATTTAATATATAGAAATGTATGATTAACAATTCACCAACAAAAACACAATATGGTTAACAACTTTTCTGTTATTTAATAACAATATACAGGCCACGTTTTCAAGTTTAACCTGTATGTTTTACGAAACGTCATGATTAAATAACAGAGAAATAGTTTATCCATGTGTTGAAATCAAATATATATTATTTTTACTCCCTTTTTATATTCCCAGTTAATTTTTATACATATAAAAAACTCTGCACTGTTCTGTTCAATCTAATTGTCTAACACTGGTAATTGGGTTTAATCAAGATTTACATAGTATAACACAATACAGATCTATGGATAACACATTCTATATTATATAGATATGTGTTGTTAATTGTACCTATATATTACACCTTGGCATTATTTCTTCATTTGTATAGTTGATAACGACCAGTGGATTCTTGTCGTGTGTATGTATAGTGATTGTACGACCAGTAAAATCTTGTCGAAACATCGTGTGTATATAATATAGTGATTGTACGACCAGTATATGATATAGTGATTGTTATCCATAGAACTGTGTTGTGTTATATTGTGTTCAATTGCTAAATGTCATTTCAAAGATTTACATAAATTTAAGGAAACTGTGAAATATACTTTAAATCTGCATTTTAAGCTATGGTAGACTAGAGGAGATGTCGTCATAACAGCCCTCGGCCTTAACGACCAAGAATGGTTTGGTCAAAACGGCCCCAATTTTGGTCATAACGGCCTAACATTATGACCAAAATGTTTGGCTGTTATGGTTTAGGTCCATAACCTAACTAGAGTAGGCTCCCATGACACTATATATAAAATGTGTAATTATTATTCTGTCCATTTTGTTAGTCACTATGGGATGAGTGGAAGGACATGTTAAAGGTAGATATCTATCGTCAATCTGTATCGACATATATTTTTGGTTGTTGTTTTATCTTCCTTTTTTTTTTTCCTTTTTTTTTTGTTGTCATGGAAATAACTACCTAGATATTGTCTTGATGTGTTCATTATTATTTTACTTGTATATGTTAGTCCTGTCTCATGGTATGTGCTTGAAATGCTCCCTCCTTGTAGAAAAAAAGTGACCTTTAACATGTTTCGATATCCCATGGTTGGCTAAGCAGTTTCACATCCAAATATTAACAATTTTATTTTTTTCCTACTTTCTTTTTTTTTTTTTGCATGATCTTTACTAACATGTTAAAGTTACTTTCCCACAAAAACACAAAAGCATTTTGGAGTGGTAATTTTGGTATATATGGAAAGTAGAAACATCCAATCTTACTAGATAAAAATCTAAGGGTTTCCCTAACCGGCAACCCGATGTCTGCTCGAGTGACGTCAAATATATGTTTGAATCTGTTTTTAGTCCAAATGTATCATCAAATCACCCAGTTTGTTCCCGGGACGGTATCTTTAACACTTGTATATTAATATCACTCCTTTATTCACAGGATATAGGGAATATTATTATTATTACTATTATTATAAATCACTTATATAGCGCATTATTTACTAAAGTGTTCCAGCTCTTCATTCATAAAATCAGAGAAAACTGATTGTTCATTGCCTGAGCACAAAAATAAAAGTACAAATTTTAGCTTTTGGCTAATGAAAAGCCTGTATTCCTAAAATATTTTAATTTGGCTTTTCTTGATGTTGTGTTACAATACAAACATTTATAATTGCGGACTCTCATCTTCACATTCCAAGTTATTAGTCTATGAATCTATCAATGAATAAGTTTTGCGTCAAAGGATATTGTGAGAATTTTGCCACTGCTGCTGATGGGCAGTCTTTGTTTTCATGGGGAATTATATTCTCATTATTTCACAACTAACATCTTATAACTAAAAATATTAATTGATAAATATTAATTTAATTTGCCTTAAAAACCTAAAAAAAAAATTACAACCCTTGATCATACTTATTGCACATTATCCTGATAAATGTGTGGAATCTTTATTTTGAACATTTTTGATTTCAGGAAAACCGTAATTTAAAAGATAATAATGAAGAAATGAACGCTCAGTTATTAAACCAATGTATGGAAGAAGGTCGATCGTTGTTAAAAGAGAGGGAAGGTGTCAGTATTGCAGAAGAATTAGAAGACTTGTCAAAAGATGAGGTTAGTTATCTCCCTTGTTGTTGTCATGGGTTTCAGATTGGACGAAAGAGCTCACAATATTTCATTCCTTCGGTTGTATTTACTCAATACATCATTGGTACCACCATGTAAATGTGTCTAGACCTTGAGTTTCGCTATTTCCTCATACACATGGTTGCACAACAGGGGCTTTTTGAGGGGGGAGGGGGGGCTTAGTCCAAATGTGGCCTATATGCAGTTTCATTAGAAAATATTTCGATCTAGCTTCCCATCCCTTGATTAGTAGCTTAATAAACTTGGGAAAAGTGGTTTCGTTTTTTCTTACGTTTTTGTTTAGGTCTTGAGTTTAGCTTTTTCCCCATCCAGTTTCGAAAGAGAACATTGCAAATCATTTGTATTTAATGCTATCTTCATCTTAACCTAGGACAAATGATTTAATCTTGTTTTCTTAAATCTTTCCAGTTATTGGCAGCTTTACGAGAAGAACAGAATGATAACATTCGTCTAAAATCTTACGTTGACAGAATTCTCCTCACGATAATGGAGAAAAACCCGTCCTTACTCGAAGTGGCGCATTAATTTATCATAGACGCTTAATATTTATTATTACAAATCAAGAGTGCTGGATAATTGTGTGTTGAAGTTTATCAAGTGATTACATGTACTGATTAATTACTGAAAAAAATGTGATTTTACTGGATGAGTGTGTCTACTTTGAATCAAGACTAAATAGCACAATGACATTCCAATCTAGATTTTGATTTCAATATTGTGTTGCCACTTCTGTGTCGCCATCTTGGAAATGGGATGCTGGTACATACAGAAGACCAAAGTAATTCTGCACCGTCCATGATCGAAACCGACACGCAACAAAGAAGTAATTCACATATCTTGAATAAAAAAAAACATTGCAACATTATAAATATCAACCAATCGGATTTACTGTACTATAATGGATATGTGATATTAAGGTTGTGTATGACTGTGTGTGTGTGTGTGTGTGCATTGCATGTGCATGTGAGTTTGATTATGATAACAAATATATATATATATTATCATTTATGTGTTTTATATGAAGATGTAGAAATAAGTGATATGGAACATTTTTTAACACCCCCCCTTTATTGTAAAATGAACTCATTCAAAATATTCATGAATACTTTATATTGGTTTAAATTTTGAATTTAGGAAGAGTTCACTGTGCAATGGGTTATTGTCTCTTATTTCTACCCTTGATATAAAAGTAGTATATAACTAGCTTTGTAACTAGTGCTATAAATGTTGTCCTTTATTAAAAATGTATCATGAAAATATATGAATTTCTAAGAAACAAAAATACTCAAAATGTCTATTTAATCAGCACCATGTCAATCAACTTTCTACTAATGAAAGGTCGTTCTTGTATTCCTACGTTCTCGTAAACACTTGGTTAATTATTCGCCATGAATTGGAGACTGGCAATTTGAACAGGACTTGGTACTTAAGTCAGTGACTAGGATTCTAGATCCTCTGACTTGGTACTGAAGTCAGTGACTAGGATGCCAGATCCTCTGACTTGGTACTGAAGTCAGTGATTTGGGATTTAACTTGGATTCTAGATCCTCTGACTGGGTACCAAAGTCAGTGACTTGGACTCCAGATCCTCTGACTTGTTCCAACCTCTGATAATTTCCAAAAAACACTAGAGAAAAATGGGTACAAGAATGTTGAATTGGTGTCATGCATGATATTACCCTGTCTCCGATCTAAATTTATGTACATTTGTAAGGGCTCTGTGATAATTTATTTGTAAATATTAAATAAAATATTCAAAAAACAATAATGTAAAATGTTTTGTTTGATTTTAATCAGAGAAAAAAAGGATTTTAAGAATTTGTACATTTTTGATGTGATCTCATTTTTGATCTAGAATGAACAGCAAAATAATATGTGGGTTAGAATGATATCTGAGCCTTTTTTGGGAGTTATCTCCCCTTCAGTAGGCTACTTGGGCGACCTTCGGATGTAGACTGGTTGGGACTACAGTCTGAACTATTCCGACCGTGTTCTTATGGTATGGCTGGTCACGAGCACAGGTTGAACTATAGTGCGACAATCCGTGCAACCGAAAGTCGCCCTGACTGCTGTGGCAATTCCATTCTTGGAGACCCATCACCTGGGTACCTGCTAGTGTGACGGCAAAGATTTAGTATTTCAGTGAGTTGCTACGTCACTGCCAGAGTAACCATTTTATGGAGTGTTGAGAATGTTGGATGCTTAAAAATCATGTTGTTTCAATATATTAATGTGCCAAGCATATCATTATTTATACTAGTTGAAATATTGGATCCGTGTGACGTATATTTCATTGCTAAGCTCGTGCAAGTGTCTGTATTTTAAGTTGTTTAATGATCTCGAGCTTAAGACATTGTGTAATATGTTGAAACAACAACACAGGACTGACGTCACTCATGTAATATATTACTAAATGTCTCGCTCTCGAACATTAAACCACACTTAATGAAGCAATTCCCTGAAGTGTCTAAGAATTGACTAAGATGTGTTAGAAGTAGACAAATCAGAAATCCTTTTCGAATATCAATGGCAAATCAGAAATATCTTTAAAATAATAATACTGTATTTCAAAAGGTATATTTGACTCTAAGATAATTAATATCAACATATATAAATGGATATCACTGAAATTAAAACAAATATCAACTAAGTATAATTATTTCACCTATATTATTATTATATAGCTATGTTGATATTAAAACACTTATATGGATATACTACTTCTGAATTTTAGTAATATTTGCTTGATAACGATATCTGTATGTGTATTGAAACGTAGCACGTCATTAAAATTCAGAAGTAGTATATCTATACAAGTGTTTTAATTTTGATATCAACATAGTCTTAAAATCAATATACCTTGTTGATATTATACTGAGGTGATTTTTAAATTGTTTTGGATCTGATATTGAAGATTAGTTGTCAAGTAATTTTGTATGATATTGAAACCTGACTTGTGAATAGGCCTACATTCAGCAAATATTATATTTATTCACTTGACATGAATGAGTTATTTTGATTTTGGGGAAAGCCACGATAGGAACTTGTGATTCTACATGTATGTGCGGCATTTGACACACAAAAACATAATATGAAACACAATTACTATTTTAATTAAATCGATGTTGTTTGAGGGTTCTCTTGAGGTATTCAGGCAAACGATGCTGGATATAATATACAACGTTGAGAGAACTACAACAAAGTATCGCTTTAATTAGAATAGGAACTTGTGATTCTACATGTATGAGCGTCATTTGACACACAAAAACATTAGGCCTATATGGAACATATTAATTAAAGCGACATTTCATTGAGGTTTCTCTCGACATTATCAGGCAAATGATGATGAATATAATATACAGAAGTTTTATATACAACGTTGAGAGAACTTCAACGAAGTGTCACTTTAATTTGAATAGTAATGTGTTCCATATTATCGTGGGTGAAGTGTCAAAATGGTGTATCACGGGAAATTAGTCAAATACACTTTTTTGCAATTAATATGCACATTTCTGTCTAAGCTGTGTATCTCTGCGCCAATTAGAACTGTTATGGATATCATGTGTCCAAATGTTGTATCTTGATTTGTGGAAATTTTGAAATGCAAAAGGTTCTATTTCTTAATCTTTAGAAATTCTTAGATACACTTTTGTGACACTCCACTAACGAAATGTTTTTGAGTTTAGTATGTTGATTGCTTCTTTGTTTTTCTTTTCGTCAACCACTTTAAAGGTTTTAGACAGAGATTTATGATGCTCTATTTTATATGGGTGGAATGTTCTCTATAATACGCTAACCTTGGGCTCTTGTTACAATATTGTTACTGTAACAAGAAGTCGCTGTAACAGATGGTTTCATTGACTAATTCCTCATGCTGTCCAGAATGCCGGTAATATAACAACTCTTCCAGACCCTAGTGTTGTACAGATAAATAAAACAAAATTTTGAACTATAAAAAACGAAACGAAATAGGATCTGTTTTTTTAATCAGGTTGTACCTGGGTAGCAAAAGAGCATATTAAAATACGACCATTTATATGGAATAAAATTACTGATTGTTATATATATATGGTGGGACATTTAAACATGAATTCCATTTTTGTTTTCAAACAATATCTATAACAAATGAGTAATTCAATTTTATTCCATTTAATTTGTCATTGTGTTTTTTTTTGTTTTATTTTGAATGAAATGAAATTGGGTTTAAACTGTTTAACGTCCTACTTTTCTTCACGGATTGTTTTTTTTGAATGAACAGGCTATTGAAATGAGATGAAATGGGGTTTAAGGTCTAACTTTTCTGGATTGAGCAGGTTATTGAAAATGAATAGGGGGGTTGGATGGCCGTATGGTTAGCACGTGCACGCTGTATCATAAGGCTTGTCATTGAGTCAACTGGGGTGGTTTCGAGTCCCTGGTTGTACGTGACAAGGAGTAGGGTCGCCTGTCCAACCTCATGGGTTTTTTCGGGTCCTCCTGTTTCCTCCCACTGCTAAAGACTCCTACGCGCAAGAGAATTATTGAAATAAAATTAAACCATGTTTGTCCCAAAATGACCTAGTTTGTGTTGAGTGGACGTTAAACCCCATTTCTCTCTCTCTCTTTCTGAAAGTGAATATCTTTTGTAAATTATTTGTATATTGTTGTAGAATATATAATATTTATCTGCTTTCGATGTTGTATTTTTTTATGTTTTTTTTTGTAAAATAGTGATTTTTTTTCAATTTAAATTATTGATGCAATGTTTTAAAATATTTGAGATTTTATTTTTCAAGAATAAAATTGAAAAAAAATCTCAGTAAAAAAGGACAAATTATTTTTATGAAAATATCGTATGTTTGTTGAAAAGTCTTTTGTGTTTCCAAGAAATTAAAAAAATGAATAATATATGCTCAAAATTGGAATGAATTTCTTAATTTTGTCCTAAAATATTCCATGAGAACTCCATTCCAGATTTGACGAAAGTCCATAACATTTGAACATTCCATCATTTTTATGCATCTTTATAAACTATAAGGAGTTATCTTTTCTTTGATCATCATCACAAATCAGTGAATTATGTAAGTCAGTTTTACTGATGAATGAAGATGATTATATGTTGTGAAGATTTGTTAAAAGAAACTTTGTGCCTATGTAAAAGATTTCACCGTCCGCTAAACATTATTATTTAAAAAAAATACTGTACAGAAAAGATTTTTATAAAGTGTTAAAATAATAATTTTTAAAATGAAATTTTTTGTACAAATAATTCTTATTTTAGATTATTTTAATATTGGTGTGTTTGTTTAGTTTATCTCAGAAATATTTGACCACATAATATTTGAACAGTAGAGAGTGTGGTTGGGAGGAGGGTGGGGAGAGATTATATTATGGATCAATTTAAAGCCGTATTAAAGTTACAATTTCATATTTTCTAAAAAAGTCAAAACATAATTATTTCTATGGCTTTTACTCAATAGGTTGTCAACTCACTATTATACGATCATAGGTGTCATTCTCACACTTAAAACTCATTTACACCGGAAATAATAACACAATTACCTCCCTTGTTTTCTATTCTCCACCATGGAGTAGCTATCTTCAAACGTTGGAATTTGAAGATGAAAATGATATTTTTGCCAATTTCTCAACTGGCAATAGTGAATTATAGGTTTAATAGGATTATTCTTTAACAAGGTAGGACTGTTTATAGATACCGTCTATTTTAAGGCTTTATTTTAATAAATTTTAAAAATATAACTTAAAAATATGAAATTGCAACTTTAATCATTAGTCTGGAAATATTTTTTTCCGTTCTTATCTTTTCCATTGTCAGTTGTTATATCAGCACACAAGTAACCTAGTATATTCCTGAAGCAATGGTTAATAAGCATTATCAGCTGATAATCTTTATAACCATTGCTTTGTGAACATGGTAAAACTGTGTGCTTACAGTAATTTAATAAAATATGGGGAAATATTTTAATTTAAAATTAGAATTAAAAATAAACTGGGGCGGATCCAGTTGTACATTGGGGAACAATTTTTTTCCCCAAACTCATGTTGCTAAACGAATTAAGTCTGATTAGGTTGGAAATCGTTATTTTGCTCCGAAACGGTTGGTAACTGGTGACTTGGTTGATTGCCCGTCGGTCCGCTCACCGAGGGCTGGGCTTCGCATTCCTAAGTTGGGGCAGGACGCCCCCCCCCCCCCTTTCTAAAAATTTTGCATCTGCCCCTGACAAATATACCATTTAAACGTAACACATTAATATAAACACAACAATTCTATGTAAAACTTTTACTGTATTTTTATTTTCAATCGGAGCTACATTTCTATGATAATCTCTTGTCGTTTTCAAGCACAATAGAACTCTTGTGTTGAATTTAATCTTGACAAATGTTAGCATTATTTATGCATTGAGTAAAAAAAAAGTTTGAATGGAGTGAATTAGATATTGTTTAAATCTCAATTAATGATAAACTTGTCCTGAATTGTGTACAAATTATCTTGTTAAACAACACGTTACATATATACATTATATATATATATGTAGTAGGAAATAAAAAACCTATTTATATACTAGTTTTATTGTTTACTTGTTTCTACTGCCCCATGTTCCTGAAGCAACGACTGTGAGTTTCACACCATCTGGACGTTGCTTGTTTACTTCACAATTCCCGAACTTATAGCTATGTTATCTACAGACACGTGAACAGTAGCACCCAATCAGAGGTTGTGATATTCACGACCTCCACGGAAACCTTGACATTGCACGAACCTTGAACTTTGCAACTCGATTATCACAGGTAGATATTTTAGCTTCAAAGTGCGAGACTTGGTATTTGCGTCGACCGAGGATATTATGTGAAGGCCTTGATAAGATGTACAGGCATATTAAGTTTTTCCAGGGCTCAAGTCTACTATTGTTATTGTTCATCATCATATGTGACCGTCTCCCACAAAAAGCAGGTGGGGCGGTTGGGTGGCCAAATGGTTAGCACGTGCGCGCTGTATCATAAGGTCTGTCATTGAGTCAACTGGCATTGTTTCGATTCCCCGGTTGTATGTGACAAGGAGTAGAGTCGCCTGTCCAACCTCGTGGGTTTTTTCTCCAGTTTCCTCCCACGTCATGTCCACGCTAGCGAGCCAGCGTCTTACACACTTAGCCACCATGGCTTCCTACATCCCTGCATTGAAGGGGAGGATTCCTCGGGATTTTCTATTGTGGTTTCCCCTTGTCACTGGTGCAAGGCGGATGGCCTGATGAGTACAGCTGTCTAGTCATTCGGATGGAATGAAAAACCGAGGTCCCGTGTATACATTGTCCTGCCCTTGGCAGTTAGAATTTGATATAAGAGTAGGCCATAGTGCCGCTGCCCGGGCAAAATTTCCCTCATAGCACACTGTATGGCATATGCCCGTCTGCATTAGCCCAGTAGGAGCAGAACAGTAGGACCTTAAACCCCATTTCATTTCATTTCATTTCCTTTATAATACCCCTCTGGCCTCTCCCCTTTGAACACGCGCCTGTCTTTTCTTCACCAATAAATCTTCATGGCTTTTCGTGAAATTACCCAATAATCCAAACAATTTCTATGTTTTCTTCTAATCTGTTAAAAAAAGACTAATTGAATCCACGCAACCTTTCTTCCATCCTTTAATTTGTACAAGTTGTGAAACTTCCTTCCAACTTCAATCAAATTCAAATTAGCAACCAATGTGCAATCGGACTCAGATTATTGGATGAAAAAATACCGAGAAATGTCATCGTGTTCTTGATTCAAGGTCATCCTTTTGTCACGTATATGCTATAAATTCCCGCCAATAAAAGACTAGATCTGCCACGTGGAAGAATGGAATGATGAATTGATTTTGTTTATGACATTTCAGTCTTTGGAATGTCAGTGAAAATGAAATCTTTATTCATTATCAAGGGCCGTTCAAGCGTTGCGAACGTTAAGGACGGGGATACAACAGTCAATTACTTTACGACTATATTTATTAGAAAGTTTTTTCAGTGTTTAGGGTGTTAACTGTTAAGGTGTTAATCCTGCCCCGCCCCATTCCGGACCCATCCTAAAATAAACGAATTCCATCACCTGTACCTGCATGTGTTTGTTGCTCTCTCTCCCGAGAAGCCGGGTCGGCTAATCCATCCACGTGCCCTATCGTCTGTTCCCACAAAGACCCCTAGTTACGTGCAAGCGAATTATTGAAATAAAATTGAAATTCTTGGTTCCAATGTGTTGAGTGAACGTTAACTCGGGGGGTGGGGTGGGGGGTCGGGCATTAACGCGCGTGCTTTAGATCACAAGGTTGGCTGTCCAACCTCGGAGATTTTTCTCCGGGTACTCCGGTTTTCCTCCACTGCTAAAAACCCCTACGCGCAAGCAAATTATTGAAATGACCTAGTATGTGTTGAGTGGATGTTACCCCCCACCCCCTCTCTCTCCCTCTAGCTCTGTTTGTTTTATTGTTTATTGTAATGTACATCTCTCCTGTGTCGTCTGGTAGAATACATCATAAACGAGAAAGAGATTCAGTTTAATCTGGAAAACGGGCGCTAGGCAACGACAACTCATTCTATCAGATTAGTCTGACCTATTGGCCTAATTCGTCCTGATCCAATAATGGAAACTAGGTCACACATATTCCTGGGAATAATGTCTGCTTGACAATAAAGGCCTATTGGGAAAGTGATTCTGTCTACGAATGGTCACAGGTCGTCCACAAATGTTATGACCCCGCTGCAGTCGTAAATAAGTTTGGTTTTTAAAGGGCGTATGACTCTATTCGTTGGGACCTTGTAAGAATGTGCTGGACGTCTTTAATCAAGTTTTGTGCACAGTTGTCCCAATGTCTTCAGTTTCTTGTTAATACTAACGTCTATGAAGTTCTTATACATACACATTGAATTTAAAATTCAGCCAATGAACAGTTTTTTCTTGTAATAACTTTAATCAGTCCGTTAGCTAACGGATAATGAAATTGACTTTCCAGCAACAGAAATTTAACGGACCTTTAACAAACGACACGTTAGCAAGATAACGATTCGTTCGGGTTCAGTCTGATTAAAATACAGGGCCCTGTTTCATTTCGGTTTTTTTATACTTTCGATGGCCAACACTACATGAAGATCTGGACAGCTGTAGTGGGAGGTCGTGTCAGAGGTAACATGAGCGACTTTTGATCGTATGACGTCAGACCTTTGATTAACCAATCAGCGTTGATGTTTCTAATGAGTTACCCACAGTTACGTGCAACTCGCGCCTAAAACTCGCCGTAACAGACCGTTTCATTGGCTAATCCCTCACATCATCAAGAACGCGGGTTATATAACAACTCGTCCAAATCCTAGTGTAGTAAAGACAAATAAAACGAAATTTTGAACTATAAAAAACGAAACGAATTAGGATCTGTGTTTTAATCAGATTGGTTTGAGTTTAACGGATCGTATAACAACCGGTCCCTAGAAGGCATTTACCTAGACCAGATATTAGGAGACATTGCTAGATCACCTGAAGCAGATGGTTGTTTTTTAAATCTCAATTTTTACAACTCTTACTTTTCTTTACACGTAAACCATATCTTTATTAAAAATATAAAGTTGTTTATTTGAAATAGATATCATATTATGTATGTCATGGCTGTCTGTCTATATCTAATCAAAATGGGTTGATATATAAACAAGGAAGAACTATATAGCTTACACTGGCCTGTGAGGATGAACTATAGATTAAAGGAGCTCAATCTATATTCTTTGAAATGAAATGAAATGAAATGGAGTTTAACGTCCTACTGTTCTGCTCCTAACATGGGCTAATGAAAGCGGGTATATTCTTTGACACGTAGAAATTGACACAGATGGGTCGCAATGCATGTTCGACGATATACGCGAAGAGTCCAAATTGAATGTCAGTCTTTAGCTTACAATATACAGTGCCGGACTGGACCCACCTCTCCACCTGTTCGTGACAGGTAGGCCTAAACTCATTAAAAAAAGTGGGCCTAAGCCTATATAAAGAAAAAAGAAAAAAGAGAAAGGAAAGAAGGAAGGAGAGAATAGGACAAAGGACAGGAGAAAAAAAGGATAGGAAAAAAAGAATGACAAACAACACAAAAAAAGAAGTGTACTAGAATTCTTGAATTCATCTAATGATAGTGCTCTTAAGTCATTCTGTTATCGAATTGTATCAGGAAATCAAAAATTTGCCTTCTGCTTGGAAAATGGGTTTGCGGTTGTCAATTTTCAAAATATTCAGGGCCTAAGTTTACTACAAATATCACCTTTTAGTTTAACTAAATATCATTTGTGCTTGATAACGATAAGAGAATACTTGTCGAAACGTCGTGCTATACTTATAAACCAGTGATTGTATTTCCATATAAACTGTGTTGTGTTTTTTTAATGATATACACGGCAATACAATATAGGACATACACTCCAATACAATAATGATATACACGGCAATACAATATAGGACATACACCACAATACAATACATGATATACACGGCAATACAATATAGGACATACACCTCAATAAAATACATGATATACACGGCAATACAAGATAGGACATACACCTAAATACAGTATAGTATATATACATCCCAAAACAATATAGGATATACTCCCCAATACAATATAGGATATACACTCCAATACATGTACATTTTTCCCATAGCACACTGCAGGGCGTTGTCCTCCTTTATTATCCCGGCTGGTGCACAAATCAAAATGGGGTTTAACTTCCTACTGTTCTTCTCCGACTGGGCTAATGAAGGCGGTCTTACGTCATACAGTGTGCTATGAGGGAAATTTTGCCGAGACAGCGGCACTGCGGCCTATAATATCGAATTCCATCTACCAACAGATATTTTACATGCACGGCAATATGTACCTCGTTTTTTTTGTCCCATCCGAATGACTAAGACTGGTGCACAAAAGTAGGACCTTAAATCTCATTATATTACGCTTCGTGTAAATCTCATCTTATTGTTAGTTTATTGATCTTTATAAACAGAATTTCTCTCGTTTGAATAACGTCTATTAATAATATATGAAGACATTGCACCTATTTAACACTTGGGTTTAATTTGTTAAGCGGAGATAGATATTGATTAAAACGTGTAAATGGGTTCAATTGAAGAGAAAAATAATGGCGTGATCAGAAACTTGATAAATGATAATACTTTTTGTTTTTTCTTTTAATTTTTGCTGGAGCTGTAGCCCCTTCAGTTGATACACAAAAGGGAAACTGTTAGTTTTTCTTGAACGAAGGCAAGCACCAGTCTTGTAACATAAGGGCCGATAAAACACGAAAAGTTTGGGGTTAGGCTGAGACTCTGTTTAGGAAAAAATGAAATGAAATGGGGTTTACATCCTACTGTTCAGCTCAGAACTGGGCTAATGAAGACGGGCATATGCCATATAGTGTGCTATGAGGGAAATTTTGCCCGGACAGCGGCACTACTCTTACATCGAATTCCAACTGTCAAGGGATCTTTTACGTACACGCCAATATGTACACGGGACCTCGGTTTTTTGTCCCATCCGAACTACAAGACAGCTGTCCCTAT